GGGGAAAAATAAATAAATTATAAGCTGTTGTTTAAAGCTACCAAGTGTTGGGTTGTTGTATTACACAACAATACTTAAATGTAAGAGAAAAAATGGTGTGAAGAGTTTTTGCAGTAACAAAAGCCTAAAACATGCAGCATTTGCTTTGAGAGTAGATGGACAGAAGCTTAAAGGGTACCAGTGTTAATGAAAGGTGTAAATAGAGTGACATTGTTACTATGTACCAGAGAAGATACGGATCTGTGCTTTGTGGTGGTGGAACAACTGACAAAACTATTACTTTTTTTTAATGCAGAAAATTAAAAAAAATATATACCTAGTGAACATTTAAAGAAAATGTTGAAAGTACTACATCTACTAAAATATATAGAAAAAGATGAGTTAAAGAAGTGTTCAACTTTCAAATAGGACTCAGAAGAACCATAAAGGTTTATGATATTTCTGAATTTGAACATTTACTTTTTTTCTAGACATTATCGCTTCTTTTTTAGGACACAAAGTTTTCTTTGATTACTTTTTTTTTTTCCTGGGGGTTGGGGGAAGGAACATCACATTTCAACTCAATTAGAAAAAATATTTTTATAAGTACAGAGTTTTTTTGTTTTGTTTTGTCTCCCCCCCTCCCCCCCATGCCATGAATTTATGGGGAGTGGGCTCCAGTAGCTCAGGCTCATTTCCATGGATTCTCACAAAGTGTGCTTCTCTGGGTGGAGCAGGCTGACACTTCAGTTGAACCTGATACACTCTTAAAGTCAGAGCTGGCCTCTGGAAGATCAGTATGCATGTTTTAAGATTCCTTATTGATCAAAAGTAATGCCAGGTTAGACCGAAAAGGACCGTGACAGCTCAAAATAAGAAGAATTATTCAATACAGACCATCCCTAGCCTTGTAGCTTCTGCTTTTATCTTTTGAAGCCCCGAAACACAGGTAAGAAACCCAGGCTAATTTGAGGGAGAGAGCCCAGGGAAGGAGTACTGAAGCTCGTCAGTGAAGAAGCCTTATTGAATGGTCGCCATGCTTACAAACCTTCTGAGAATCCAGATGCAGCCCTTTTGTGTCATGCAACCATGTGAAGATATAAAGTGAGAATATGAAATGAGCCCTGTCAACACTGCACACAATTTGTTTGTTACATAGCAAAAGACAATCATAATGATTGGGAAGGGGAATTATACTTGAGGGAACACATTGGCCCACTGAAGTTGAAATATTATGTCCTACATAATATTCAGAAGTGGAGCTGAAGAGATTTCGCTAAGAAAGTATCCTTCTATAGAGAAGAATTTTGGCTAATCAAACAAAATGCTTCTTTCCTCCCTCCTTCCCTCCCTCTTTTCTTCCCTCTCTCTGTCTGTCCTTTCTCTTCTACCTTTCTTTTTGTCCTCTCATCTTTCCTTCCATTCTTTTACTTTTAGCACATAAGCCAAATAAGTTCACACATTCTTTCATATTTGTGTTGCTTCATCAGAGAAGTTATTTGAAATGGGACTTGACCTACTCAACACATCTTTATTAACCTTATATTATATGCCATGGAAATTCTAGGTACTATGAAAACAAGTATAAACAAAATACTAATTTTAATGTAGAAAAAGATTATGCAAATAGGAAATTATCATATGTGTTATGATTGATAAAGGAGAGGTGACATTGCAGATCATTGGAATGAATGCAATATAGAATACAGAATAAAAAGAGGCAGGACGTTAGGGAAGGAGGAAGTATTGCCTAAGATGAACCCTAAAAGCTGATAAAGAGCATACAGTTAAAGTGTTAATCAAGAAACAGGGCTCTAACTCAGCAGGGGCTAACAAAAGAAAGCTCCTTCTGCAAGCCCAAGCTTGCACAAACATGCTCCCCTTGAGTGGTTATTTTACAGAAATTCCTGAAGACAATAACTCCTGAACCGCAAAACCCTCCCTCCCCCCAAGAGATAGGATGGCTGGCACCAGCAGAAGGACAAAGGGCAAGGCCCTAAAACCACAACTGGGGGCCAGGTCCCAGATAGGACCGACAGCTGAAGCTCTGTCTGCAGCTCTCCCTGAGGACATAGGAAGCCTGCTCCCTCCCCATTCACCACTGACTCCTTTCTCAGACACAGTCCACCTGCAGCCAATGCCTTGAATAAATAAATACATTTTTTATTACACTGAGCCCTGAGTTGATTCTGTGCAACCAGGGCCCAACTCTAAACCTTTCAGTTGTTGAATTCTGAGAGGAGTTATTAATTTATTTGAGTAAATTTATATATCTGAAAATTGGTCCAAACTGTGCAAAGGTTAATAGCATTTTTGTATATTTGAGATAACTGATATGTACATCAAATATATGTTTGCACACATGTTCTTGTGAATGTATGAATATGTATAAATATAAGTATGATAGTGGTTAGAGAGAGAGAGAAAGACAGAGAGAGATGCTTATAAACAAATAAGACGATAGGAGGTATGTATCTGAAATAAAAAGCATGTATATTTGTGTATGGGTGTATGAAATAAATATAGCCTGTGTCATATTTGTTTCAGGTAGAGCTGGGGATATCTAAATTATAAACCTTAGGGATAGAGAGATGGTCATAATTTACATGCATATATCCCTTGGTTTATGAGTTGGTGTTTAATAGAATTTTTAAAAAACTAAGACAAGATTTTAAGATCTGCTTATGTGTAGTGTAAAAATCAATTTCTGGGCATGGCCCATGCCCTTCAAGCAATATCAGTGTAAAAAGGATGGCAAGGCATGCAGATTAACATCTGAAGTATAGGATAGATCATGGACAAATATATGTCAAAAACCTAAAGTGTCTGGCAGTACAGAAAATGACAGGTTGGTATTATGTGAAGACAGGCATTAAGGAAAACAAATTGAAGAAAGTGTCTCTTGAGATGGGAAGGGTTTTTTTTTTTTTTAATAATATATTTTATTGATTTTTTTTTTTTACAGAGAAGAAGAGAGAGGGATAGAGAATTAGATACATTGATGAGAGAAAATCATCAATCAGCTGCCTCTTGCACACTCCCTACCGGGGATGTGCCTGCAACCAAGGTACATGCCCTTGACTGGAATCAAACCTGGGACCTTTCAGTCCAAAAGCTGACGCTCTATCCACGGAGCCAAACTGGTTTCAGAGAGATGGGAAGGGTTTTGATTAAGAAAGATCAAGGGAAAATGCCTCCCAAGTAACACAAAAACTGAGCTAAAGTAGCAAGGGATGTGTAGCATCTTTACAAATAAAGCAGTAGGTTTGGCCAGATTGATGCTTATATTGTGATTTAGCAAAAATAAAGCACCTGGAAATGCAGACTGGAGTTAAGTCATGCAATTATTTGAATGCCATGCTATGAAGTTAAGACTTTATCTTGAAAAACAGACTGTTGAAAATTCTAAGTAGATAAAAGAAGATATTTGTGAATACAACTCTAGTTACAGAGTTAATAACAACTTTGAATATGATAGAAATTGGATATATGAACATTAGTTGGAAGAATTTTACAGTACAGAAATTCTAAGTGATAAAGTGCAAGACAGAAAAAAAATATAGTGGAAATGTGCAGTGGGCTGCTTCTCCTTTCTCCGAGTCCCCCACGGAAAGGGAGAAGGACAGGTTCCGGAGTGGAGGAGCTGGGGATTAAAAAATAAAAGAAAGAAAGAGACAAGAGGCAAAAATAGATTTAAAAGCTGGGTGCCCGGTAGATGCTGTCACTCTGATGGAGGGACAGTCAACACCCACCACAGACAACACAGTGCATTTATTGATTTCCAGAGGGGGTTTAAAGTCAAAGAAGTTTTGGGTGTGCCCAGGTCTTATTTATTCCCTCAAACCTGGGATTTAGCATATCAAGACCTGGGTAAGTCAAGGTCCTATTCGTTCCTCATTCCAAGCACATGGATAAAGATAAGAAATCTGTACTGATGTAGGTCTCTAACATTTTGGGAGGCTGTTTCCGGGGACAGCCATGCCAGTCACCTGGGACTCAGCTGACTTTAATTCAAAGGTCATCCATGTGCATTCTCAAGGGGCCCTCTACAGAAATGTACAGAGAAATCTTGGTGATAGTTTGGGTGAAGGGAAGGAAATAAAAATAATTAAGGATATCAGGTTTTAAACTTAATTTAGCTCAAGTCAAATGAACAAAAATGGGAAACATAGAGGGATAATGTAGCTGGCACAGAGACTAGAAGTTTAGTTTGGAAAGACTTAAGATGCATGTGAAGAGTGATTCACAAAGCTGTTACAATATGTTTTCTGGAAGACAGACATGATTCCTGGTTTAAAATACAGGTGACTTGAATTTGTGAAAACAAATATAGGTAGGTAGAAGGAAAAAGTGAAGCTAAAGAAAGAATAGATTTAGGTTTTCTTCCTCCACCCCCCATGCTTTCCTATCAAATTCAGTGTACTGTATATTGGTTCCAGATTTTGACACTAATAATAACTCTCTAAAGAAGAATCTTCTCTATTAAAACCCTTCAGACATAAAAGATCTTTACTCATTGACATGAGCTTGGGCATTTATACACACTTATTCCCATTAGGATTACTTTCCATGATATATAATTCCATATTGGTGAAATATCTAAAACATAAATATGAAAGAGAAATCATTAAATAAAAAAATCTTAGAATAAATAGTTGTGCTCAGAGGTCTTGATACCGTATACCTAAATTTATTGTTACCTCATTTGAAATAATGTTCTTCCCATTTATGTTATGTAATGCGATCAGATAAACAATAGATTAAAAACAGTATGTTTTCATATGTTATTACTTGCATCAGCATTTGAGAAGTTTTCTGGTCATGAGGGTTTCCCAATAACAATATTCTGATGAAAAGAACATGTCTCAGTTACTATATTCCCACACTGACTAAGTCCTCCTCTTGCCTTAGTTATTCCCTTTCCCACGAAGCCCCCAATCTGGCATGATTTATCTCTACCTCCAACCTAACATGATTTCCAGCTCCATAATCCAGGTCCCTGTCTACCTCAGGTATCAACCTCAGTCTCCACGACAGTGCAGGATCCGAAGTACCCACTCCCGCATTTGCTTGGTCCGGGCTCCATATATCAAAGGGTTGATCATGGGAGGCACCAGGAAATAGAGATTGTCAATGATAATCTGTAGATGAGGAGCCATATGATAGCCTAAAATCTGTACCAGAACAGAAAAGACAACAGGAGAATAAAAGAGAGCAATGACACAAAGATGAGAGCCACATGTGCTGAGAGCTTTGCCCCGTGCCTCCCAAGAGGGTATTCGAAAGACGGCATGAAGGATCAGCCCATAGGACAGACTGATAAAAAACAGATCAAATCCCACAGATGCTACGATAACCATGAGGCCGTAGACAATGTGGTCAGAGATGTCTCCACAGGCTATCTGCACCACAGCCATGTAGGCACAGTAGGAGTAAGCAATGACGTGGGTTTGGAAGCTTTCCAGTCTTTTTGCTAGGATGGGTGCTGGGGTCAGCACTGCCACTGCCCTGGCCAGGACAGCCAGTGCCATCTTCACAAGCATGTTGTTAGCAAGAATAGTTGTGTATCTCAGAGGGTGCCAGATAGCCACAAATCTGTCAAAAGCCATGGCCAGGAGGATCCCAGACTCCATGACATAAAAGGAAGGGATGAAAAACATCTGGGTGAGGCAAGCATTGAAGCTGATTTCCTTGGCATTCATCCAGAAGATGCCCAGCATGCGGGGAACAGTAACACTGACCAGGGAGAAGTCAACAACTGACAGCATGGCCAGCAGGAGAAACATGGGCTCATGAAGACTCCTTTCCACTAGGATGATGCATAAGATGGTGGTATTGCCAATGACTGAAATGACAAAGACCAAGAAGAAAGGCACAGAGAACCAGCCATGGGAAGATTCCAGGCCAGGAATTCCAGCCAGGACAAATGTCAAAGGCTGAGGAATGGAGCTGTTGCAAAAGGACATTCCTACCCTAAGCTCCTCCAAGGGCTGATTCCTGAAGAGAAAGAAACAAGGGACATTTGAAATCAGGGCATATTTCCATTTAAAACACGGGGTAGTACCTTATGGTGGCAATCATAATTATATCATGTCAACTAATTATCAAATAAATGTTTCTGCAACTTGTAGTGAGAGAGGAGATAATCCTAGGCTGCAAAAAGAAAAAATAGTCTCAGGGATTAATTCTCAATAAAGACATATTAACTCCATAGTTTAGATTGTAGCTCTGATTCCATTTAATATTCACTGTGTGAAATCCTATAGGATTTTTTTTTTTTTCTCAGATAGCAGGGCCTGGCAAGAGACCCAACATTTTAATGTTATAGGTAAAAGCTAGAAATCACGGCTTTCACTCAAGATGAGGAAGTTGAGATTGGCCTTGGTTCTTTAGGATTCTCTAGAGTATTTGTTGATTTTTACAAAGGACTTCAGAAACTGGCTGATCTTACAACTGACACACATTCTGGAGAAATAAACAAATTTTGGATGACAAAGGTGGATTCCAAAAAAAGCCTCAATAGATAACAGTTTAATATTCAAGTTCCAGTATTTTAGTATTAAAACATGGTAGACAGTGGGTAAAGTAAAGTTTTGGGGTGGTATATATATATATATATATATATGTGAATCCATGTGGTTTTGTATGGGGAACATAGTTTAGTAATTAATTGTAATACATATTTCCATAAAAATAAGACTACCGTATTTGCTGAACATTTTGAACTACATAATTATTTTGAATAGAAATGCATATTTATAAATTATTTGATGTTATAGATTAAATAGTATATTTAACAGATTAAAAGTAAAAAACATAAAAGTATATAGTAAATAAAAATAGTAAAGAAATACAAATATAGCTTTTTTGTTATTAATATGATTGAAAATAAATTTCATGATTAAAGTTTAAATTCCAAATATTTGTTAGAAATATTACAACTATATAATATTTAAAAGAATCACACCAAAGAACATTTTCAATTCAGAGCTGTTTGCATCTAAAATTATATAGAAATTGCTATAGTTTTCTTCAAAATCAAGTTTAAAACATTTTCATTTCCTGTGACCATATACAACTGAAATTAGGATGAAACCATATAACACAAAGTTGCTTTAAAAATAAAAGTACAGTAATATTAATATTGTGTCATTTTGTTTTCATTGTTGATGAACTTGGATTATTTATCTATTTTGATAATTAATTTATTCTAAATATACTAAAATAGAGTGGTATAGTTGCTAAAATCCCACATGTAAACATTATATAATTAATATTTTCAGATCTAAGTATGTCATATATCAACTGAATTTGGTAAAAGGCATAGCATAGCTGAATAATAGGTTGGTCTCCTGGAATTTAACTTGGTATAGTGATAATAGCAAGATCTTTGAGATTACACATGTTTGAGAAACAATCTCAGCCCTCCCACTTATTTTGAAATCACTCAGATGTAATTTGATCAATTGTTTAAGCCTTTGAACATCATTTTTTTTTCTTATCAAAAGTGGGATAAACCTTACCTTAAAAATTGTAATGAGGATTAAATTCATCATTGAATCACATTATATAAAACAATATTCTTGACATAATTCTTTGAATATTTTCTTCTTTTAGTATGAAGTACAAAGTTTAAGTGAAAGATGCAAAAAAATAATGTTCTTTTTTGTTTGTTTGTTGTTTTGTTTGTATTAATCCTTACCCAAGAATATATTTTTTTCCATTTTTTAGAGAGAGAGGATAGACGAGGGAGAGAGAGAGAGAAACATGGATTGATTGCCTCCCACAAACTGGGTATGTGCCCTGGCTGAGAACTGAATCTGTGACCCTTCAGTGCAGAGAATGACACTCCAACCAGTTGAGACACACTGGCCAGGACATACTATTCTTTTTGTTTTTTGTTTCTTAGAAGGAACTGTAACTAGGATAAATTAATAGTCTTGAACTGACAACATAATAAAAAAGATTTGATGACCCTGGTAATTTTATCCTCAAATATTTTTAGATTCATTATATTCTTGAATGAAAAAAAGAATTTAGTATCCAAGAGAGATACCTGATCAAATAAAAGATGCTAAAAAATTTAAAAGCTGCACTTCAGTTTAATAAGGAAATAGCCCTATCACAAATTCAAACAGAAAAGATACCCTATGGGTAGAAATTGAATGATCATCAATCAGGAACACATTGATAAATATATTCCTGATAAAATTCCCCATCTGGTGATGGAATTAGGATATTATTAGTGATTTAAGCAACATGGTAAATTTTTTCCTGAGTTATCAAAAATAATTGCCAGCAACAACAATATCAACATTAATTTCAAGTAAAGAGATCATCAATTTAGGTGTAAAAATTAGAAACACTCGTATTCTTTCCAAAAGAATGCCACTGGGTATTCTAAAAATTGCAGAACCGAACCATGGACTTAATAGGGTTGGTGAGTGGTATTTAGGAATCTCTTTTTCCTACATGACTTTGTATCCCAGGATTTTCTACTCTTTTCCCTCCTTCTTCTTCTTTCTTTTCCTAGAATAGTACCTGTAGATGGTTATGAGTCTGACCACAGTGGGACTGGGACCAGCAAAGCAACTGTCCACATGAAGTACAGACAAGATCTGTTGATGTCCAGAATAAGATGAAGTGTCTGAGCTAGAGGCATATTAATGCTGGTTTGTCACTGCCTCCTCTTCCCCTCCAGGGTCTCTAGGGACCTCTCTGTTAGGCAAAGTGCTTTACTTGCCTTGAATATTATGGGGAACAAAGTCTAGAGCCAGTTATTGAATGTAGCACCTGTAGTTAAAGAGACAGAAGGAGAGTAAACTTTGGGTTGTGAGCACAGATGCTGTATTATGAAGTTATTCATCTGAAATTTATATAATGTTACCAACCAATGTTACCCCAATAAATTAAAAAATTTTAAAAGCAGATGTTTGGGTGGGAGCATTGTAGAACTAGTGTGGTGTGTGTGTGTGTGTGTGTGTGTGTGTGTGTGTGTTGTAAGAGGTGGTGTGTATGGTTTACATTCTGGAGGAGAAGAGTAAGGGCTGAGGAATCATTTAATATGAGATCAAACTTAGAGTAAAAGAAGGTAGAACTGTTTGCAGTTATAATTACATACACATTGCTTCAAAACCAATACTTTAAAACATCTTAATTTCCTGTGACCTTGGCAACTCCATAAGCAAAACTTAAAGTGAAATTAAATTTTAATTTCCTCTATGCAATTAAAAACCAAAAAAGCTGGAAAAAAGGTATGTACTAAGTACATTTTAACTGACTAAATTAAAGCCTTGTTTGGTAAATAAACCATGTAACAGAAACAAGGAGTTGAGATTAAAGTAGGAGCAATAGAGAAGATTTAGAAAAAAAATATTGCACAATACCAAGTTTAAGGGAAACTGAGCTTCAGTTTGTCCCAGGACAAACCACACAGTCCTGGAGCTGAAGCTATAGGGGGTTGGAACTGTAGGAACTGCAAGAGGTAAGTCCCTGGGACTGTGGCTAAAACAAGTGTAGTCTGCAGGAAGTCCTAGGGGCAAGGCACACCTAGGTGAGCTGTGCTAGGGTGTGTGCAAGCTGAGGAGTCCCACAGGCAAGTCAGGTGGCTGGAAGCAGGCTGCATGGAGACCTATTTCTCTCTCTCTCTCTCTCTCTCTCTCTCTCTCTCTCTCTCTCTCTCTCTCTCTTTCTCTCCCTCTCTCTCTCTCTCTCTCTCTCTCTCTCTCTCTCTCTCTCTCTCTCTCTCTCTCTCTCTCTCTCTCTCCTCTCTAGCACAATCTGGCACATTTTGCCATCCCATAAAGTGATTTTTGTTGTATGAATATATGAATAAGTTGCATTTTTTTTTTACTAGAATTTCATTCATGGATTTTGAATATTTAGTTTTGTGATTATTATTGTTACACATTCAAATTTGAGAACCATTGGTAGATAGCTTATAAGTATTAACTTCTTGGTTCATATTTTGAAATGTAACATATAAACAATTCTGATAATTGTCAAGGAATGTATTATAATTAAACTAGAGGCCCAGTGCATGAAACTAGTGAATGGGGGGAGGTTGTTCTTCAGCCCAGCCTGAACCCTCTTCAATTTGGGACCCCGGTAGGATTGGGCCTAAATGGGCAGTTGGACATCCCTCTCACAATCCAGGACTGCTGGCTCCAAACTGCTTGCTTGTCTGCATTCCCCTAACTACTTCTGCCTGCCAGCTGATCACCCCCTAACCACTCCCCTGTCAGCCTGATTGATGCCTAACTGCTCCCCTAACAGCCTGACTGCCCCTAACTGCCCTCCCCTGCAGGCCTGGTCCCCCACAACTGCCCTCCTCTACATGCCTGGTCCCCCAAAACTGCCCTCCCCTGCTGACCTGGTCACCCCTAACTGCCTTTTTCTGTCAGCCCCATTGCCCTTAACTTCCCTCCCCTATCAGCCTGGTCACCCCTAACTGCACTCCCTTGCAGGCTTGATTGCCCCCAACTGTCCTCCCTTGCAGCCTGGTCCTCCCCCCCACTGCTATCCCCTATAGGCCAGGGTCCTCCCTAATTGCCCTTCCATGAAGGACTTGTCTCCCCTAATTGCTTTCTCCTGCAGGCCTGAGTCCCACCCAAATTTCCTTCCCTGCAGGCCCGGTTGCCCTGTAACTTCCCTCCTCTGCCAGCCTGGTCACCCCTAACTTCCCTCCCCTACAGGCTTGATTGCCCCCAACTGCCCTCCCTCGCAGGCCTGGTCCCTCCCAACTGCCCTCCCCTGCTGGCCATCTTGTGGCAATCATCTTGTGTCCACATGGGGGGAACCATCTTGTGTGTTGGAGTGACAGTCAATTTGCATATTACTCTTTTATTAGATAGGATTGCATAATTCATGGTATTCCAAATACAAAGAAAATACAGCCAAAACATTTATCTTGGCAATTCATCTTCAGGAAATACCCAACATAATGGCAATATTCCCAAAGTTTACATTTCCATAAGAGAGATCTATCACTTACTATCTCTGAGGTCCTGAGAGAGATCTGTCCCTACTCCTAGTATCATTGTTATTTTTCTCCATTATCTTATAAGAAGATCATCATTAACCCTGTCCTTATGATTTTAATTCAGCTAGTATCTTAATTATAACTATCACACTATTAGGAGTTCTAAAATACAGGCCACATAAATTCAAATATCTTATAGAATTATTCCTTCAGAAGCATTCATTGAATTCATGTGTTCATAGATACTGAGAGGTATTAGTGATAAAAAAATAAATGGATGATACTCTTTAAGTATGGGATTGAGTACTTTTGTGTTTATTTAAATCCAAGTAGCACCACTTAATCAACATGTGACATTGAGCAAATTATTTAAACTCCCTAAATCCAAATTTTTCATTTATAAAATCAAACTAAAACTCTGATGATTCTGATGATAACATATGCTTGCATATGTACATTGCTCATACATATCTGACAAAATCTTGCATATAATAAACATGCAAAATTATACTTGTTATGGTAATCCAGTTATGTAGTGTCTATTTATTAAAGTCTACTATAAGTCTAGTATAGTGCCTTTTTTTATATGCTTTCACTCATTTAATCCTTAAAATTCTTACAGGGAAGGAAATCTTATGATCCCTATTTTATTAATTATGACAATAAGGCCAAGAAAGTGACTGGATATGCAGATAGTAAGTGACGGAGATAAAGGATGAATCCAGACACTCTGATTCTAGAGCCAGTGCACTTAACCTCTAACTATATTAAGAATTTAATTGGAAAAAGACATACCAGGTTAACTACAATATATAGTGGCATTTTTCACAATAATGGTAGAGACAGTTTTTAGTTAGTTTTACTTGAGGAAATAAAATTTCTACTAAGATGGGGGAGTTTAAATAGGTGATGCACCTTGAAGTATAACTAAGTTTTTTTTTTATAGATAAGAAGGTGCCCAGACAAAGGGAAGCATTCTAAGTAAAACCATGAAGATATAAAAACAACTTTATTTTTTTGGATGAAGGCGGGAGTCTTTACAAACAGAACCGAGCATGCAAAGGATGTGTAAGTATGACAGGAGAAACAGTAGAAAGGTAATTCATATAGGTTTACTTTTATTATAGTAATTTGTGAACACAATTATTGCAATGTGGAACTTTTCTACATTCCTATTGTGAAAATGATAGGCAAGTATTTCTTGCACTCAGAAGACATGAATCTTATTATATTGACTCTTCTATAGAATGTTAAGTGATGATTGATTTTCATTTGGTGATAGTTTCTGTGGCATTTTTTGAGGTTCTTATGAGTTTCTTTGCTTTTTTAATCACTTCTTGTTGGACAATACACTATTACCCCCCATTCATATAACAGAAGGTCAGTAGCAGCAGGGAGCAGAAGGGGACCCCTTTCCAGTTTATCAAGTTCTAAGTAAGCTCCCTAAAATTCAGATGTACACAAAATAAAATGTGCCTACTAGCTGCATTAGAATTGGGAAACTTCTATAATGTGTGGTTACTCTTCTCCATTGGAATCTGATAAAAAGTCTTATTTCAGCAGAAGGAAATGTCATGTCTATTATGAGATGAAATACATTATTTGTACTCTTCCCTTCACGTTCTGATACTGTCTCTGCAAATAATTACAGTATAATCAGGCAAACTTTACCTTTAGAAAACTAATAACATAGTCTCGAATTTTCTTGGTCCTAACACCGTACACAATAGGATTAAGAAAAGGTGGGACGAGAAGGTACATATTGGCAATAAAGATGTGAATCCTGGGAGCCACATTGTGGCCAAAGCGGTGAGTGAGGAAGGTGAAGACAGCTGTGGAGTAGAAAACAAGGATGACACAGACATGAGAGCCACATGTGCCTAGTGCTTTAAGACTTGCTTCCCGTGATGGAAGATGAAAAACTGCACGGAGGATTAGAACATAAGAGATGACAATAAAAAGGCCATCACAAGAACCAATGACAGAGGCCACACTGAGGCTGTAACGTTTGGTGGCTCCTGTGTCCACACACGCCAGCTTCACCACAGCCATGAACTCACAGTAGGTGTGGGCAATGACTCGAGTCCTGCAGTAGGGCAGCTGTTTGAGCAGGATGGGATGTGGAGAAAAGAAGACCGCTCCTCGGAGTACAACAGAAGCTCCCATTTTGGCAATGTGAGCATGGGTGAGAATGGTGCTATGGTGCAGTGGATGACAAATGGCCACATAACGGTCAATGGCCATGGCCAAAAAGAAGCCTGATTCCATGGCAGTAAAGCTGTGGATGAAGAACATTTGGGCCAAGCAGGCATCAAAGGCAATGTCATGGGCTCCAAGCCAGAAGAGACAGAGCATGCGGGGGAGTGTAGATGTGGAGAGGACCAGGTCAGTGACCGACAGCATGCACAGGAAGAGGAACATGGGCTCATGAAGGCTTCGCTCTGCCCTCACCACTGCCAGGATGGTCACATTTCCCACCACAGCCACTATGTACATGGAGCAGAAGGGAATCCCGATCCAGACATGCAGGTGCTCCAGTCCTGGGATGCCCATGAGAAAGAAGGTGTTTGGAGATGTTTGAGATTCATTGGCTGGTACCATGTGCTGCTGCTGCTCTCTGTCTTTTGTAGATGGAAACCTTTTTAGGACAAAAGTTATCTTCCAAGATCATCACCCCAAATCTGGCAAAAAATGAAAAATACAACTGGAAGACCCCAAAACATCATGTTAGAAAACATAAAAGGTTGTAATTTATAGTGGAAAACACACACACAAAACTTAGTAAAGCTAGGCAAAAACTATGCCACCAGATACAAAGTACTTACTACAAACCAAGTCATGAATCTTACAATTTATTAGAAACAAAACCAAAATAAAAAACCAACATGGCCCTTGCTGATTTGGCTCAGTAGATAGAGCATTGGCCTGCAGACTAAAGGGTCCTGGGTTCAACTCCAGTCAAGGGCACATGCCCCAGTTGTGGACTTGATCCCCAGTATGGGGCATGCAGGTGGCAGCCAATCAATGATTCTTTCTCATCATTGATGTTTCTATCTCTCTCTCTTCCTTCCTCTCTGAAATCAATGAAAATATATTAAAACAAACAAACAAATCCCAACATGCTTAATATCTCTGTACAATAAAATTCAATATAATTTTTTGATTCATACTTTGATTAAATAAGACCAAATTAACTTTTGATAGAAATGTCATATTATAAATGAAATTAATCTGAGAGTCGTTTTTAAACATAATTTTCTAGCTGATGTGTGAGTACTCTTAAGTATGGATTCTCATTTTTTAGACAGTCCATTACATCTCCTAGTACTGTCACACAACCAAACCCAGGAGCCATGAGATTGGGTTGCCCTTTCCTATTGTGATACTTTTTTATATACACCTGTCTTTTGCATAGAAGTCTTCACAAAACCTGAGATTTGCCTCATGCCTCTACTAAGTTTCCTCCTTTTCTATGAAACATTTCCAACTTATACATCTACTTATTTTAAGCTCAATTTTTAAAAAATCTTAATTTCCTACCTCTTCTGTATATTTCCCAATGTACCAAGTTCTTAACTTTTATTTTGTGTCTGAAGATCCTAGACATTACAGAGATCCATGTACTTGGTATCTCTTTTGATTTATACACTATTCGTATGATTTTAGTTCATATTATTATTTTTTAATGAAGTGAAGAGGAAAAGTAATACTTAGTGATTTTAATATGAAAAGGACATCATCTGGAATCTTTGTAGATGTTAATTTTTAGTTGAAAAAATAACACAACTAAATGACTACTTTATAGTAATTTATTTTGAGTTACTATGATATTTGATTGAGAGTAAATAAAATTTAATAATTCTTGAAAATTATCAGCTATCATAAGTAATGCTATTACTCCTGTCTTTTTTATCCTCCTTGCATCTGATCATATTTATTTCCATCATAGGCTCTTTTTATGTTCTTGTATTAAAACCAAGCACACAGGGACTCTTTAAACTTTCTAATACTATATAAAGACTCTTTCAAGAACACCAAATTAATGCTCAGATAAGTGCATTCCCATATGAACAAATTTATTTAAATAAGCTGATATTTAAATGCACAAACAAGGCACTCAGTTTTACTCATCAGAACTTACCTTGGTTACTTTCAGAATTATTAGTTTTTCTTTAGGACAGAAATCCAGATCTAGGTATGGAAGAGCTAGAAAGAGATGTCAATCCTCTTTTAGAAAATCCATTCAGGAGAGAATTTTATGTCCCACAAAATTTAGTCTGAAAATCTTTCTCTGCTTTTTCCTCTCTTTTATCTAGTATAGCTCAACTAGTTTGAAGATAAACTACATAAAAAATAATGGTTGACTATGGCTTGTCTTTTGATTGCCTTATTAAACAGATTTTTTTCACCTTAGTCCTAAATTTTCTTCCTTCCACAAGTGTTGCTTAATCAGGTTTAATGCTGGTGGAAAGAAATGCATTCTTTGATCACAGCTTTCTCTGACTCAAAAACCTTTCTTAGTCAAACAGCTTTTAAGTTATTTTAATTCTAATTTATAGTTTCTGTGACCCAATAATCCCTATACTTTAGCTCCTCAACACGTAGCTACATTTACATCAGTTATGGGGAAAAAAAGGTCCATTTCACCTTCTTACCATATTGTATGTATACAGTATTTATTCTTTTTTTAAAAGTATATTTTTATTGATTTCAAAGACGGAGAGAGATAGAAACATCAATGATGATAGAGAATCATTGATTGGCTACCTCCTGCATGCCCCACACTGATGATCAAGCAGGGCATGTGCTCTGACCAGAAATTGAACCATAACCTCCTGGTTCATAGATTGTTGCTCAACCACTGACCCACACTGGCCAGGCTACAGTACTTATTCTTAATTTTCTTAAGGGTTTACAAAGAGTTACACATTAATTATCTTTTTGAGAATCTTATAATTCTATAAATGTAGATGTTGGATATAGCCCTTTACTCTCTTTTCCTGTCATGCATATATACCAACTCACCCATATTAAAAGCTGAGATTCATCCAGAGAGCCAATTTCTATAAAAAGTAGCTGCTGAGAACTATGCACAGTGAGTAAGAGCTAGGTTTTACTCCGCTCCTAATCACACTGGATTAAAGGAAGTAGATGGCAGGGGACTCGGTGGTTCTCTGGGATATGAGTCTTTTCCCAAACCACATGACTTAAATTACATTCAGGTCAAGTAATTGCTATTAGCTATCCCTTAAGATAATAAATAAGGACATTATTATTTCTCAAAGGTCTGCTGAGTGCTTTGATATGGAATGTATTTGCTTAATATATCAGCAAAATATTATAAAACCATAGAATGAAGGAAAATGATTATGTTTATGTTCTATGAGGTCATCATGTTCATTGCCCTAGGCTTAAAGTTTAACATTCATTTCTCACTGATCTGTGTAGCTGCCTTTGGAAAAATAAATGACACTAAACAGATGAGAAAATAAAGAGACTAATAGATTAAATAATTTATGTACAATTTTACAGCTAATAACAGTGATGCCAGGATCTGAATCTGGATATCCCTGGTTCCACATTTCATATACTTAACCACTAAATTACTAAGATTAAAAAATAAGATATGTCTGAATTAAAGTCTCTATCTTTTTTATACATAGTAGTAAACTTCATAGATTATAATTGCAATATCCAAAATGACCAGTATGTATCTTTATAAGCTGGTCCCTGCAACCCTTTTGGCATCACTTTCTGCTACACAGCTCATATTTTTTAGTTTCCTTGAGTTACAGTTTCAACTTAAATGTAAGAGGGAAACCATAAAACTCTTAGAGGAATCCACAGGCAGCAAATATCAGATATCTTATAGCAATATCTTTACTAATACAGCTCCTAGGGCAGTGGAAACTAAGGAAAAAGTCCCAAACCAATGGGACTACATTAAAATAAAAAGTTCTGCACGGCAAAAGAAACCATCAACAAAACAATAAGAAAGCCCACTGCATGGGAGAACATATTTGCCAATGTTATCTCCGATAAGAGTTTAATCATACAACATGACAAAAGGAAGGTATACAATCAAATAAAAAGATGGGCAAAATATGTAAATAAATACTTTTCAAAAGAGGGCATACAGAAGGCTAAGAGACATATAAAAACATGTGCAAAGTCATTAATCATCTGAAAAATGCAAATCAAAATGACAATGAGGTGCCATCTCACACTTGTCAGAATGGTTATCATCAGCAAATCAAAAAATGGCAAATGCTTGAGAGGATGTGGAGAAAAAAGATCCCTCATGATCTGCTAATAGAAATGCAGACTAGTACAGCCACTATGGAGAACAGTATGAGTTTCCTCAAAACTTTAAAAATGGAACTCCTATTTGACCCAGTGACCCAATGGCTAGGAATATATTACAAGAAATCAGAAACACCAATCAGAAAAGATATATGTTCATAGCAGCACAATTTACAGCACCCTTATGTTCATAGCAGCACAATTTACAATAGCTAAGATTTGGAAACAGCCTAAGTGCCCATAAGCAGATGAGGTGATTTAAAAATTGTGGTACATCTACACAAAGGAATACTATGCTGCTATAAAAAAGAAGGAACTCCTACTATTCACAATAGCATGGATGGACCTGGAGAGCATTATGCTAAGTGAAATAAGCCAGGTGGAGAAGCATAACTATTCCATTATTGCACTCATTTGTGGAATATAATGAACAACATAAACTGATGAAGGCAGGAGAACATTGGGGGAAGTAGAGATCAACCAAAGAACTTGTATGCATGCATATAAGCGTACTCAATGGAAACAGACACTAGGGGGGAGAGGGCATGTAATGAGGGTGGTGTAGAGTGACTGGGGAGAGGCCAATGGGGGACATATGTAATATTTTAATCAATAAAGAATAAATAAAAATTATCCTATATAATAAAACCCTAGTATGCAAATTGACTGAATGGTGAAACAACCAGCTGCTATGATGTGCACTGACCACCAGGGAGCAGATATCAATTTAGGAACTGTCCCTGAGAGGTTCCAGACTGTGACAGGGTGCAGGCTGGGCTGAGGAACTCCTCTCCCCCTTCAGTGCACGAATTTGGTGCACTAGCCTCTAGTTTCATATATACTTTCAACCCAAACCTTTGTCACTCTTCCCCATCCCTAGTCTCAGATTATGACCTAGATTCCAATTTCACTGAGAAAAAAGAATGAAGAGAAGATCCCATCAGCATGCCTATCCATCCATCTGCTATTATTAAATCCATCTAAAACAATGATATAATCCATTATTTCTACAAAAGAAAACTATGATCCACATACCGTATATGCTAGCGTTATCCACACCACGTATCTGCTAGCTAGTGCCTTATTTATCTTACTCATTTTTCAGCAATATCCCTGAAACAATTGTCTATAGTCACCCTTTCCAATTTTACTCTTTCCGTAATTTCTAAAATCTATTGTAGCTTCCTCTCTCTGTACACAAATGGTAAAAGACACAACAAATTTTTAAAATGTTTTTATTGATTTCAGAGAGAGAAAGAAAGATGGAAAGAGATGGAAACATCAATAATGTGAGAGGA